ATGTCCCCCAGACGCCCAAGTGTTGAAGGCCACAGCACAGCGGGGAAGTGGCAAAAGCTTTTGGAGTTGGAACCTAGCAGAAAGAAGTTAGGTCAGTGAGGACGTGCCCTTTGAAGAGCATATTTGGCCCTGGCCTCTCCTCTCTTTGCTTCTGGCTGCCATGAGGTAAAGAGACCTCCTTTGCCATGCATTACTGCTGTGTTGTACTGTGCTGCTACAGGCCCAGAGCAACAGGGCCAGGCAACCCTGGATTGGAACCTCTGAAACTGTGAGCCAAAATAAATCTTTCCTTCTGTTAAGCTGATTATCTCAGGTATTTGGTCACAGTAATGGGAAAGCTAACTATCACAGATTAGATAGATAGATAGATAGATAGATAGATAGATAGATAGATAGATAGATTGACAGACAGACAGACAAACAGATGTATAAAATCACTATTTATTACTGATGTGCCTTTGAATGTCATGGTCCTTGGACAGTGATACATTCTATGAAAGAAGAATAACTGTTAAATGAAAAATGCCTTTGATCCTACCAACCTGCTGTACATGCCAGAATAAAACCCTCCATTTCCAATGCCTTGTTTTGCTTTTAAAATGTTATATATACATGTGATATAATAAGAAACACATTTAATCCTTGTCCCCAGTTCCTTGTGCAAAGATTCTAAAAACCATGGAATTTTCTGAGTAATAGGAGTCTCTTTTGTTATGCATAAGGAGGTCTTTTTCGTCACACCTGAGTTTATGCCAGTGAGGATGATGTATATACCCCCAAGTTGGGGCTGGTCACCAGGATTACAGGTTTGGAACTTTTGGCCCCACCCACCAATCTCTGGGAAGGGAACATTAGCTGGAGATTGAGCTCCTTGAAAACACAGCTAGATGTGACAACCACCAGGTTGATGAACATATCCACATGCTCAGGTGGTGGTGCATCTCCAGGCCTCATCTTGTGTAGCTTTTATTGGATTATCTGTAACCTTTATCACATCCTTTATAATGAACCAGTGAATGTAAGCAAAGTGATTTCCTGAGTTCTGTGAGACATTCTAGCAAATCATCAAACTTGAGGAGAGAGTTACGGAAACTTCAGATCTATAGCCAGTTAGTCATAAGTGTACAGAACTTGGACCTGTGACTGGCATCATAATCCAGGGCAATTTAGTAGAAATGAGTCCTACTTTGTGAAATCTGTCTGAAAGAGTCCGACTTTACTTTTCAATTCAAGTAAGTATATTTGAAAGCATCTCAATGATGCCCATCTTATGTAACTCCAAGTAGATATTATCAGCACTGAATTGGAATGTAGGACATCCAGCTGGTGATTACAAAGGATCAGATACTTGTGGGAAAGGAAAACTCCTGAATAAATGGTGTCAAAAGTGTTCTGCATAGAGTGCATAGAAATGTGTGTGTTTATCCAAGTATATAAGATCAGGGAAGGCTTAAAGCCACTCCTTGGGTTTATGATGCCTTGCTCCCAAAGACGCTTTTAAGACACCAGTATTTCAAATAGTTCTATTCAATGGCCCAGAGGTTTGTGCACCTGGGTCAATGTGCTTCTGTAGAAAAATTCAAGAAGGGGAGGGATCTGCCTTTATTTTGTAAAGTGAGATGTGCTCACTTCGGCAGCACATATATTTTGTAAAGTGAGAGAAGAGTGAGGGACAGTTGACCTACTATACTTTTGCTTTTCCAGGAAACTTAATATTAAGAGGAAGAACATTGATTCCCTTAAGGCTATCCAGCCATATATATATATATATATATATATATATTTTTTTTTTTTTTTTGGTACAGGGGATCGAACTCGGGTCCTTGCGCTTGCACAGCAGGTGGCGAAACCACTGAGCTAAATCCTGGGCCCCCAAGCCATGTATATTTTTCAAGGCGTTAGGTTCCCTTGGGGATATGCGTGCCTGTCAGAAGACTGTTCTGCTTAAGATTACAATGATTAAAACGCAGGTGGGAGTGTGTTCTGTGCCATGGGGGGCATGGGGTTGGTGGCCAGAGAGGTAGTCGTGGATGTGCTGCCGTATTTTGATCAAGGCTATGAGGCTCCAGGCGTGCGGGAAGCAGCTGCGGCTCTGGTAGAGGAGGAAACTCGCAGATACCGACCTACCAAGAACTACCTGAGCTACTTAACAGCCCCGGATTATTCTGCTTTTGAAACTGACATAATGAGAAATGAATTTGAAAGACTGGCTGCTCGACAACCAATTGAATTGCTCAATATGAAAATGATATGAGCTTCCAGCCCCTTCTTCAGGTCAGAAAAATGACATTACTGTATGGCAAGAATGTGTAAACAATTCTATGGCCCAATTAGAGCACCAAGCAGTACAAATTGAGAATCTGGAGCTAATGTCACAGCATGGCTGTAATGCCTGGAAAGTATATAACGAAAATCTAGTTCATATGACTGAACATGCACAGAAAGAGCTTCAGAAGTTAAGGAAACATATTCAAGATTTAAACTGGCAGCGGAAAAACATGCAACTTACAGCTGGATCTAAATTGAGAGAAATGGAATCAAATTGGGTGTCCCTGGTCAGTAAGAATTACAAGATTGAACGGGCTTTTGTGCAACTAGAAAACGAAATCTATCAAATTAAGCAGCAACAGGGAGAAGCAAACAAAGAAAACATCCAGCAAGACTTCTGAAAAGACTAACTTGCTGAGTAGAAAGGAAGAAAAGTTGGGCTCTTACAAACATCAGCCATCTAAACTATCCCTGAACCATGAAGGACAACAGCCTCTCACAAAAACCATTAGTGGGTAAATGTTTAGAAACCATAACGTATGGATTATTATAATAATTGTATCAAGAATCTTTGTGAAATAAAGGTTATCAACTTGGAAAAAAAAAGATTACAATGATTGAAGGCCTGTCCCAGACTTTCTTTCTTTCTTCTTTACTCAAAAATTTTATCTTTTATAAGATATCATTTCTTTGCAAAATTTGTATGACATTCCACTGTATGAAAGCACCATAACTTCTCTAATATGGTCTCCAGTAGGTACTTAAGTTGTCTTTTTATCTTATTTGTGAATACAAATTATGTGGCAGTGACTACCTTTGGACATACTCTTTGGTGCACATGGGGGAAAATATCTGGCGGGACTGTAGGGGCATTTGCAATTTTATCTTCCATAAAGACTGTACCTAATTACATGCCCACCATCATGAAGAAGTTGGCCTCTTTCCCCTTACTCTGGCAACACAGTGAGTTAAACACTTTCATTGTTATCAAGAGGAGTGGGTGAATATTGGCATCTCATTTTAGTTCTAGTTTGCATTTCTCTCATCATGAGTCAAATCATCATCTTTTCATTTGTTTACATCCCTGTAATTCCTTTGCTAGGAAATGTTGGTTCATGCCTTTCACCCATTTTCTGTTGGGTTAGTCCCTTTCTTTTTTAAACTGTATTAACACTGACTGAGGAAATTGGCTCTTTTTCTGTCAAAAGTGTTGTAAATATTTTTTCTCAGCCCATCTCTTACATTCTGACTTTGGCTTTGAATTTTTGTGTCTGTTGTACAGAAATTTCCATTTTTTGTAGTCAAATTTGCCCATTTTTATAACTTATGAATGTCAGGTAATACTTAACTCACTGTGAAATTATTATTTTTAATCCCTTTCCATTATTTAAAAATTTTTGATTCATCTGGAATTTACTTTGGTATACAACATAAGACAGGGCCACCCCATTGTCCCAATACCACTTAGGAACTTCCACCTTTATCCACTCATATAACATCTAAAATCTACTTTAACACATACATGGTCCTTCAAGTCTGTCCCATTGCCTTGCGACATGCATGCCTAGGATTGAACTGCTTTATTACTCTTCTATTTCAGAATTTTCTGGCTATTCTTGCATACTTACTTTTCATAACCCTTAAAGAGTTCTGGAAGGAACCTTACAACATCCTGTCCTGTGTGGGGTTAACTGAGAAATCCTTGGCCAATGTCTCTGTAAGGACACAGATCTGCCTGTACACAGGAGAGAGACCTTGAAGGCCGTGTAGAGGAGACTGAGCCTTCATTGACCAACTTGAGTTATAGCCAGCCCTTGAGAACAAATTGAGTTCATAAGTCAAGGGTCCATTGTATTCACAAAAGGCCTCAAATTTACACATCTCACCCTATCATCAACTAAATTGAATTATGGAAACACACTGAGAGGCCTAAGGGGAAATATTTACCAGCCAACTGAGATTTGAATACCTGTTATGGACCCCATTGCCAGTTATGCACACACTATAAATTTCACATAAATCATACAGCTAATTTGTGAATAGCACAACTAATATTGCAGGGAACTGTCATATAAAGGAACAGCTAAAAAGTTAAACCTACTTAAACTATATATATTTTGTTGTTGCTGTTGTTTGTTTGGTACTGGGGAATCAAACCCAGAGCCTCATGCCTGCTAATCAAGCTCTCTGCCTCTGAGGTACATCCTCGTCCCAAGCCTATATATTTTGAGTGATATATAGCTATTACTCAAATATGTGAAAGTTATATTACTTTGCCACCTAAATCATAAATTTTTTTTCTTTCTTTCTTTCTTTCTTTCATTCTTTCTTTCTTCCTTTCTTTCTTTCTTCCTTTCTTTCTTTTTTTTTGTACCAGAGATCGAACTCAGGACCTTGCATTTGCAAGATAGGTGCGGTGCCACTGAGCTAAATCCCCAGTTCCTAAATCATAGATTTTATAATTGATAGACTTCACATATTGTACTTTTTGTGTACAGAGAAATAAAACAAAATTATATTGTCGTATCTTATGTTTTTGTGCTAAATAAAGATCAAACATATATCATAACATGTGCCATGCAATTTGGGCAGAACTTCATCTTTTTTCTATGTGAACAGCTCCCAAATGACAAGTGTCCCAGGGCTATGTTGAGATAGTAAGGGCTGGCAGGCAGCCTCCCACCTCATGACCCATTGAATAAGGGTCAAGATTTAACCCCAGCTCAACTCACATAACGATTTCCTTCCTTGTCTGCTCCAGCCTCATGTACTGTGTCCACTCTTGTGCATTCTCATATGTCTTCGACTGATCCACAATCTTTTGGAACATTGTCCTCTTCCTACAGAACACGCAAGTTTGTTAAAGGAAGCAAATCTCACAATTAGGCAATGCCTGGGCTGCTGATATTGGCTGTTTCAGATGGGGGCTTATCAAATTTAGCACAGCAAGCTTAAAAGAACCATAGCTGGAGAGTGAAGACCCATGTTCTAACCCAGAGTCTGCCTCTGATTTACAATCTGATTTTAGCCAATCTCTTCTCCTGGATCTGTTTCCCCACCTGTAGAATAGGAATAATATAGCTCCTAGAGTTGTAGAGTTGGGCTTGGTTCATAAGAAGAATCAACTGTACTCTTTGCTGTTATAGCCATATTATTATTAAAACAAGAAGAAATACCAACTTGAAATAGAGAGCAAGGTCAGTGGCAATGATTGCAATGTCCATCATGTGGATTACATGCTCATGCTGCCTGCGACTGAGGTTTTGAAAGATATTCAGGCTCTAAAGAGAAAACCAGAGGAGAGACATGAGAAATGAGGCTGGCAGCAAAGTCACCCCCCTACCAGTGGCCACCCTATGTGAGGTGAGAGAATGGCAGCCCAGGCCAAGGACAGCAGGCTGCCTGAGGACACTCAAGCATCTTGAGACATGGGAATCCTGATCTAGGTCCTACAGGCAGCTCAGAGGGCCCTCATCCTACCTCATCTCTCAGCAGTGTTTTGCCAAACTCCAAGTGGTGTCTTTCCAAGATGGAGGAACCATGGAGCTTAGCCAGTGGGTTCTGGGATCTGATTGAGAGAATCAATATGGAATGGTTAAGGTGGAGGTTAAAGATTGTCCTGCCACTTCCTAATTCTGTAGGCAGAGAAACTGCAGTCTAGGAATGAGAAAGATTTGTCTCACACAGTAAGACAATGGAAAATGAAGACTAGATGTCATGTTTCCTGACTGTGTCTTTGGCTTTTCATCCATATGTGATTCTGGGCATAGACTCTTTGGAGAATCTGTTGAGTAGTGTGGACAGTTACCCTAAGAAAAAGGTGCTGTTTTAGAGGCTTCTGGATCCCCTGTAGTCATTGAATTCCCACAAGCAATGTGTTAATTTCCTTTTTCATTTAATAAACTCATGTTTATGTGCCAAGCACTGTGCTCAGTGCTTAGATTTCCATAGTGTAAAATCTAAACAGTCTCTCTAGTCTTTGTGTAGTCTGGGAGTGTTAACAAGACTGAGGAAAAAGTGAATTCTAGTGTTCATTAATGACTTACAGGCTGTTGGCCCTGAGAAAATTCTCAGTTTCTTCATCTGTTACATGGGGATAACTGCTCTGTATTTCACCCAGCCCAGACAGAGGATGACCATGTGTATCCATCAAGAACATGATTCAAGGACTGTGATTCACAGGCTGACTGCCATACCAGCTGTGTGAGAACAGGAACAGCCTGTTTTGCTCATCATGATAACCTCTTTCGCTAGCACAGAGCCTACCACACTATATGAGTGGCATTATAAATACTACAAGGTGAATGAGTGACTTATTAGTTCCTGATATCCTGGCTCAAATTAATTCATCAGGTAGAACAGGGAAGGAAAGAGTGAAGGAGTTTAATGTATTAGTTTCTTATTGCTGCTACAACAAACTGCCACAGACTTAATGGCTGAAAATAATGTATTACCTTACAGATCTGGAGTTCAGAATCTAGAACCTGTCCACGGGGCTGCCTGCCTTTTGGAGGCTCAAAGGGTGTCTGTTTCCTTGCCTTTTCCAGTTTCTAGAGGCCACTTGCATTGCTTGCTTGTAGCCACTTCCTCAAACTTCTAAGCCAAAAGGATTTCAATTTTCTGTCCTATGTGACTTCCTGCCTCCTTCTTACAAGAACCCTTCAGACCACAAAGGGTCCAGTAGGATCATCCCTATACCCCAAGCCCCTTAATCACATCTGCAAAGTCCCTTTTAAATGCAAGACAACATATTCTCAGGCTCTGGTGTTTAAGATATGATCATCTTCAGGAGGTCATTTTTCTGCCTACCATAGGACTGGACCGAATTTCCAAGGGCAGGAGGAAGTGGGAAGCTGTGCACAGTGGGTAGTAGTCAGTGAATAGTCAGTGTGGGGACCTTACAGACCTGGGTAATGAGTCCTGGGAGAACAGGGTGAGGGGAGGTGGGAGAGGCAGGAAGGGCTGACTCACTTCATCTGGTAGAGGTTGTTGGTGCCTCTGTGGTCAATGTCATGACAGAAGGCAGCAGTGACCATGGCCAAGGCCTCTAGGTCAGTGAAGTATTGCTTTAGCTTTCCCGTCTGCAAAGGCAATCAGAGGTACAGGTCACTCCTATTTGGGGGGGACTGGAAGCAGGGCTGAGAGGACAAGTGGAGGGAAGAGAGCCTGGAGCTTGGGAATGTGCATCTGATCTTTCTGCATCCCTAGTTCCACAGGGTGACCAGAGATCTTCTCCAGGGTGGAGAAGGATATGGAATTTTCAATACTAGACCAGGGACAGTTCCAGGCAAACGGGGACAGCTGTTGCCCTAGTCCTAAGTGACCGTACCTGGGCTCATGCCCCTCTGGCCTTCAGTATTTTAGTCTGCACACTGCAAGTGGAAGATGTTGTACTAGATGATCTTTGAAAAACTTGTAGCCATCAGGTGTCAAGATTTGGAAAGTTTTGAACATGAGTGGACTGGTAGAACAAACCTTCCAAACCTGGTCTACCGGTTTAGGCACATCTCAGAGGAGCCTTTCCCTGGGACTTCTTCACATATTTAACTCTTGTTATGCTGGTATTGGAGCAAAGGGTGGAGAAGAGCTGTGGAGGACTGATGCTGATCCAAGAAATAAACTAAATCTCAGTGTAGTCCTTGTTACCTTCTAGTAGCCTGGCCAGCATTCTAGCTTTTGGCCACTAGCACCTGCTCTGGTCTGAGGGGAAAGTGATGAAGCAGGGAGCCCGAGACGGAGAAGAGACTTTTGTCATGATTTTCATGGAGAAACACTTTACAATGAAAGATCAGGGGCTCTGAACTCTCTGAGCCAAAAATACTGACACAAATACACAAAGATTTGTCCAGCCAAGAATACTGTAGCACTGTTTGACAGAATGAAAGATAGAAAATAGCCTCTACATCCAACAGTAGAGTTCTGAGTAAAGAAATTATGGTATATTTAAATAACAGAATATGATCATGCTTCCGATCTGTGTGTTCCACATCTGTGAATTCAACCATGAGTCAAAAAAAGTTTTTTAAAAATTGTATCCTTACTGAACATGTAGAGACTTTTTTGGTCATTATTCCTACATTGTGTGGTGTAACAACTATTTACATAACATTTCATTTTGTTTCATTGTATTAGGTACTATCTGTAATCTAGAGATGGTTTAAAGTATATAGGAGACTGAGCATAGGTTATATCCAAATACTATCTCATTTTATGTAAGGAACTTGAGCACCCACAGAACTAGCACGTGCTTTACAGGGAAGGAAAACGAAAGCATTCTTTCAGTCCATGGGGCAGGAAATCCTAGAATAAATCACTCACAAATATCAAGGGATGACTCTACTATGCAGTCATAAAATCATAACATGAATGAGCACTGAAGACAGGTTAAGTATTTCAAGCAAAAATCCAAATGCATGATTCCACTTATATGAGATATCAAAGAGTAGCCAGATTCATAGAGATAGGAAATAGAATAGTGGTTACCAGGAACTGGAGGCTATGAAGAATTGGAGTTACTATTTAATGGAAGCAGAGTTTTTGTTTGAAATGATAAAAAAATTCTAGAGATAGATAGTGGTGAAAGTCACAAAAATTGTGAATGCACTTAAAGCCATTGAATTGTACATCTAAAAATGATTAAGATGATAAATTTTGTTTTATATATAACATACAAACACATAAAATGTTTTATATCTGTGCATATATAATGAAATAATGTGATTGATATATGTATATATATAAAATAGAAAAAAGTAATAATATGTATTTTCAAATGAAAAACATATTACAGAATATTATTCCATTGGTTATAGACATAATAAATAGTATGTATGTTTGTGTGTGTGTGTGTGTGTGTGTGTACATACAAAAAGAAAATTTGGAAGGATTTGTTTCTGGTAATCTCTGAATAACAATAAGCAGATGGAGGTTGGAGTAAACTGCAGCTTCCTTTCACTTTTTATGTGATACACTTCTCTAGTCTTAGAATTCTTTTATGCAGGTATTGCTTTTGAAATTCTTAAAAGGCAATAAATAAACAATGATGTTGCTACTGCCATGTGGAGTCTGCATGAGATTGTCCCACGTGCCCCCCCCCCACTTCGCTGGCCATGTCTGCCCTCACGTACCACCAGCAAGGAGAACATGGTCTGGCCCACGTTGAAGCCATGCCGCCAGTTGTGGTAGGTGATCCTGCGGTAGCCTTTGCTCAGGGAGTACATGAACCGCACCAGAGCCTGCAAGCACACACACATCAGTGGGGCAGCGCAACCTGGCCAAGTGCCCAGGGTCTTCAGCAATAGATGCAGAAATGTTATGAAAGCATTTTGCAAACTGTTCAGTGCTGTGAAGATGGATGTTGTTAGGGAACAAGACAAGCCTGAGTCATTGCACTTATGGCACTGGTTGAGCTTCATCAGTGATTCCCAAATTGTATCCAAGAGCACCTGTCCTGGGTGAAGCTAACAGGTGCTTTACAGAGGCAGAAAACATAAGCGTTCCTAATCCTGAAGTTCTCAAACTTGAGTGAACACCAGAATCACCAGGAGGGCTTGTTAAAATAGTTTCTGACCCATTACAGCTAGTGTGTGTGTGTGTGTGTGTGTGTGTGTGTGTGTGTGTTTGTGTGTGTGTTCACAATTCTGATAACGTCTCAGGTGGTTAAAGTCGGGGAAGTTTTGTGCACCACAACACCCCCATCCCCTTACACTCATAGCATACATTCAAAAGGAATCCTGCAGGACAAGAACACTATTTAAATGAAACACATTCCCCACCTGACTTCACCATCTATTTATTCACTGTATTCAGCATCAGCACCTCAGAGCCCTGTGCAAGAAGCCAAAACGCTTGCAGCTCTGCAGCTGTGAGAACAGTGCATCTCTTTTCTGATTGAGGACTCAGCTGTGGAACATCACCAATGCTTTAAATCCCAAATGCTGAGGGTACACTCTTTATGGAAGTATACAGATGGAGTTAAGAAAAAGAAAGAAAGCAAGAAAAAGGGAAATCAAAGATATTTGTTTGACCTCACCTCTTGTGGAATGTGAAATTTATCCACCACTTTGAGCTCATAATACATCTGTATCCCACATTTCACCAGCTCAAGTTCTGTGAGGGGCAAGTCACTGAAGTGGAATTTATTAATTTCATATTTCTCTGTATCTGGTAGCTCCCCTTGCTGTATAAGGAATTGAGTCAAGTGATTAGGGGAAAGTGTTCCTACTACCACTACTACTACTACCACCAGTTCTGGCCCCATCCCAGGTCTGCAGGGAGAGCTGAGCAGAGTGGTGAGTGCATGCTTTGGGGAGTGATGCTCTCGAACACTCATGAGCACCCCACACAGCTAATCCCTCAGAGCCAGTGTTGCTCACCAGAATCTCAGCCAGCTCCTCTTCCTCACATTCCCATGGCTCCTTCCCATACACCTCTCTGGTTTTCTGCCATGGCCCAAAATAGTGAGAAAAAGAAATAGGTTACCACATTGTAAACCCAAATACACCTGCACTTTTCCACTTCCATTTCCATTTCCATTTTTGTCCTTCCTCCAAAGTCCTTAGAATTAAACCACTTACTGAGAAAGGGTGACATTCAACATTCATTGCTCAGCAAATTCAAAGTTGTGGGCTTTGGAGCCATGGAGACCTGCATCCAAATGCAAGCTTTGCTACTTGCTGGGGGTATCACTGAGTGCCTCTGAACCTCAATTTTCTCATTTGTAAAATGGGGCCAGTGAAACTTCTCAACTAGTGAGTAAAAATTTGATTGTGCAATCATTTTTAAACAAAGTATGTAGAGCTAAATTAAATAATGCATGTAAAGTATTTGTCACATTACGTGGCACATAGCAAGCCCTAAAATAATGTTGCTATTTTTATTGTTACGGATGACTGAGAGTCAAGAGGCTTTGCCCCCTCATTTACTGTGTTACTGGAGTCAAGTTCCTTCTCTTTCTGGACCTATTTTCATGAATGTAGGGAAGAGAAAGAACATAGACCCAGTTACTTTGTTTCTGATTTCATGACTCAGTGCAAAATCTGTTAACTTTCAATTGGTTCACAGTGCCTATGCCTCCTCCACAGGGTCCACATATCCATGACATGGCTGAAATTATGGACTGAGTCAAGCAAATGGAGGCAGTTCATCTAAACTAGATGTTCTCACCTCTGAATTTCCAAGTTATTGGGATGAAATGATCAAATTTATTGTAGTCTCTTCCCAGGGTAGGGATAGCCTCTGAAGCCTGGTCGCACACCTGTGATCTCAGCATTCTGGGAGGCTGAGGCGAGCAGCTCACAAGTTCAAGCCACTATAGCTCTGTGCCAGGTAGGAGGATATGACTGAGTGAACCCACATCTAGCTGTGCCCTTTTGGACTTAAGGTCTTGCCTTATCTCCAGGCACAATCTCTACTAGAGTGAAAATAAGAATGCTACGCACCAGGATTTTCTGAATTTCATCATTATCACACTTCACATGATATTTCACAATGTCCTGGAAAATATCTTTCCTATTTTCCAATTTGTTCATGGATTCATAGGTGTCAGGATTTAAGACAGACCATCCCAGGAATTGAGTCAAAGACTGAAAAGAAAGGAAAAATTCAGAAACAGAACACCCAGGTTTGATGCTGACACTAACTTAGGGCAAGACTCCCTAAGCTATGTGGTGCCCACCACTCAGAGGTGTTGAGGACAAGATAAAATAATGTAGGTGTGAATCCTCTTTAAATTAAGAACACACATTAAGCTTTATTTTTATGCATAATAACTTTAATTTTTTAGTATATATGCTGCTGAAGCGAGCACAATAACTTTAATTTTTTTTTTGAGGCAGGGTCTCCTATGTACTTCAGGCTAGCCTTGAACTCACTATGTAGTCCAGGCTGGCCTCGAGCTCACAGTGATTCTCCTGCCTTGGCCTCCTGAGTGCTGCAATTATATGCATCCGCCACCACTCAGCCAACTTTAGAAAAGACATTCTTTGCCTGTGGGGGCAGGGAGTACATAGGAACTCTGTAATTTCTGCTCAGTTTTGCTATGAATCTAAAACTTCTATTAAAAATGAAGTTTATTAAATTAAAAAAAGGGAAATATGAATTTCTCTGACCACCTGTGACAGTGGAGAAATGAGAGCAAAGAAAATGGTTAAGAATGTGTCAGGAGCCAGGGATTTAGCTCAGTGGTGCCACCACCTGCCTCACAAGCACAAGGTCCTGAGTTCAATCCCCGGTACCAAAAAAAAAAAAAAAAGAGTGTGTCAAGATTGCACCAACAAGGTGGCCTCCCTATCCTTCCATGGGGCTGGGCAGCTACACACCAGGGTCCTACTGCACAGCTAGGGAAGCTAAATGTGGCAGCAAGTGGACTCTGAATCCCAACAAGGAGCCTCCCAGCACATCAAACCTCCATGAGGGTCTCATCCATTTCATCAAAGGGCTTCCCATCTTTGCGATTGTAAAACGTGGCCACCCCAACAATTTCTTCCTTCTTGTTCACAATTGGCATTGAAAGGACATTTTTAATCATCCATCCAGACTCATCCAGTGGCTCTTTCTACAAGAGAAGCACCAGACTTTAGGTTTCTTCTGGCTCCAGGCTGCACAGACAGCTGTGATGGACTCCCTGCTGTGACATGATCCTTAATCATTGGCTGAGAGGGAGCAAGAAGAGGACAGAGCTTGTTGCATTTTGAATGGTTTTAGTCATGCACAAAGGCCATGAGCAAACACCCCATCTTAACCCAGGTAACGATATCGTTTCCATCCCTAAAATGACAGAGCTGTTGTGTGTCAAGCAGTATACTATATACTGGGGATATAATGATGGGTAGAAACATCCCAGGGAGGTAATAGTCCCCTTTCATATACAGGAGATAACCATAGGTGAATTACTGGCTTCAAATTCATTACGGGCAATGCTTGTGGTTCTCATAACTTTGAATTAATCACTTAGCTATATCCTGCAATCTTTGCCTTTAACCTGACTTTCTGTGTTACTTTTGGCATGCTATTTATCTCCTTGGCCTATCGCCTTCCAAGCTCTCTAGGGAACCTCCGGAAGTCCTTTCCTTCTGAAGGTCTTGATAAAGAGAGAGTGAAATAGGACACCACTAAAGATTTTTAAAGAAGGAAATTAATTGATTCAATTTTCCCATCTACAGATAGGGAAAAATATATACCTCAATAAAGAAATGAGGCTCTTGGTCAATTATAAGATCCCTTGGGGAGTCATTTCTCATCTGTCTGAGCCTCACTTTTATCATAAAATTGATATAACCAGACTCTTTTCCCACTGATTTGTCAACATTTATAGTGCTCAAGAAACTAAGTTACCATCTGGGAAACACCAAGACAAATAAGGCACAGACTGTCCTCAGAGTTTTTATAATCTAGTAAACCAACAATTACACTACAGTGTGGGAAGATGTCTGAGTTCTCTTTATGGTACTCGTGGAGCTAGAAATGAGAAGGAAGTCAAGGAAGGCTTTCTGAAGTAAGTGTCCTTCAGTTTTGAAATTTCCAGATTCTTAGAGTGGTAATAATAATGGAAATTATTTTTGCACTTTGATATGCTGTTTTAGCACTGGTGAGAGTGTCCAGAAGGATGAAGAATACAGGATGATGAACCTTAGGCCTACTGTCCCCCAAGCTTGCTATAGAACTTTCAGGGAGTCCTTTTCTTCTGAAGGTCATGATAAAGAGAAACTGAAATAGGATAGCATTAAAGGTTGTTAAGAAAGGAAATTAATTGATCTAACCTATCTTTTAAAAAAATCACTCTAGCTCCTTTGTGGAGGATGAGTTAGAGGGGGAGGATTAGAAAATAGAGATTACATTTGTTTTACTAATGTTAAACTGCCATCAGTTAGATACCTTGGGTAAAGACTGAGCTATGTGGTGGTTATGATCACATCAGCAACTCTAAGCATGTCACATTGATGTGATCAAAAATCACAACATAGGCAGTGCAATCTTAATTTTGGAAGTATATCATTCTAACCCTTTGAAAATGTTCTTTAAGCATAAAAAGATAGTTCACTGATTTTCCTAAAGAGTCATTGTTATTTTCTTATCTTTTCCTGATTGCTAAATATTAGCATGCTAAACTCAACAAATATTGACAGGGAACCTAGAGCTAAAAAAGGTAAAAGCCAACCTTTCATCAAAGAAAGCCAATACTTGAATTAGTCTAAAACAGAAGTAAGGGTAATAAAAGATCAAATAAGAAAAAAGTAGTAAGAGAAACAAGCTCCTTGGCATGCCCTTGCAGGCCCTGCATCATCTGTCCTTTGTCTGTCTCTCTAGAATCTCCTTCCACTCTCTCCTTTGGTCTCACGATTTGTCAGCCTATTCTAGTAACTTTCAGTTAGCCATCTCTTTCCTGCAGGCTTGTCCCCTCCCCTTACCACCAGACATACTTTCTTAAGGTACATGTCCCTTAATTCCCCCAAACCAGATTAGCCTGCCCTGAAAGATCCCCTCTCTATCCCCTGCCCTTCTCCAGACTGCCACTTTGTGTATGCCTCTCACGAGCTCCATAAACATTTGTTATATATAAAAAAGAAGAGAAAATCAAACAAAATACTAAACTATATTCCATGAACATTATCAGGAAAATCACAATATAACTTGTGAAGTGACAGCATTTGGGGTAGTTAATGAAGGGTAGAGGGATTTGGACAGGAGATGATAGTTGTGGAAGGAAGAACATAAACAAAGGTCCTGAGACCAGAAAGCAAAGAGTGTAAATGTTAAAACTGAATGGAACTTTGGAAATTGCCCAGTTAACTCCAGCCCACCTTCACTGGCACATGGCTTTTCTCCACTCATGTTTTCACTTTATTCAGACTGCTTCCCCCAAGAAAGTGAGTGAATTCTAATGCTCTTTCTAGAGGATAAAAAAAATCATATAACTAACAGAACAAATAAAAATGACTTACCTGAAATGCAAAAAAGTCCTCCGCAGGTGCGTTCATGATATTGCAAATCTGAAAGCCATGAAGAGGAACAATGGAGTTGTGATTAGACCCAAGAGAGTCCTCAGGGAAACAATTTGTACTGTTTTCAGAAGCACCATGTCCTTGCCCAAAGCACTCGTATTCCTTTCATCAGGTACACAAGCTCAGGGTGGTTTAAAGTTGAGGTTACTGGATAGAAAAATCATCCTCTAAATATTACTTCTTATTACTTGCTGTACTCTCAAGCCATTTCTAAGCCTTGAAAAAGTTAAGAGTGCAGGTCGTCATTATTAACAGCTGCATAGTATCCCATTTTGTTGTTTCTCTTTTGGACAGTATTTGTGTCATGTCCAAGTTATTTTGTTTTTGTTTTCTTTGCTTGTTTGGTGCTGGGGGTGGAATCCAGGGATTCTAGGCAAGTGCTCTACTATGAGCTATACCCCAGCATTGTTTTTTTAAAACAACTATAGGTAGTGGTACTCTAAACATCTTTGACTCTGTTACATTCGGGGTTTTTTGTATGTGCAGGAAAGTTTTTTCCCTTGGGGCATAAACCCCAAAGTAGAATAAGAAATGAAAAGTGTTGTAGCTCTGGTTCTACACTGCCAGATTTCTCTCCTGAAAATGGGACCAGTTTACTCTTCTATGCAAGGGGTCAGATGACACTATGGGACCCCCAAATCCTTGCCGATGGAGCCAGCATGTACAGGGGCATGTGTGCTGCACATAGGCATCTGTTTGAGAGGTGACTGGGAACTGAAATCCAGCCTGTGCTCTGCCTGCTGAGCCATACCTCTGACCTTGCTTTGGCCACCCACTGGGAAGGAAGCCTTCATTTAATTCCCCAAAAGCCACCACATGGGCTTGCAGGGCCCTGCCTCTTAACACAAGAGTGACTGTCAGGTGTCATGGGGCAGCTGTCCCTGCTTCTATCTGCTGATGGCCCACAGATGACACCATCCTTTCAGCCTCCATCATTCATCATCATTCCCTCATGATCGCTTATCTCTCTGAGGGGTCCCTCAGCTTTGAGCATTCTTGAGTCTCTCTCATCCTTGAAAATGAAGTTCCTCCTTCGCCTGACATGGTCACCATAGCAACCATCACAGCAAGCATTCTCCTTCTGCATTCTTTTCCTTCTCATAATCTGTCCATTCCTCAAAGGACCTCACTTTGCCACCAAATCTGCTTTCATCAGGGCCACCAATCACGTCTTAATTGCCAAACCCCAGGAGTTTTTTCATTTCTTATTGCTCCAGTTCACTGTGCTGCATTTGGTCTCTCTTTGTGGAAGCTTTCTACTTCTTTGGTTTCCATGAGCCCATCCTCTCCTGGGTTTCCAAGCACCTCTGAACCTTCATGTTTCTCCTTCACACACTCCTCTCTATGCACCTGCTTTGGAAACAGTGACATCTTCCAACATTTCACACTTGGCCCTTGGCTTTGGGGGGTCCGATAGTGTCATCTGACCCCTTGCATAGAAGAGTAAACTGATCCCATTTTTAGGAGAGAAATCTGGCAATGTAGAACCAGAGCCACAACACTTTTCATTTCTTATTCTACTTTGGGGTTTATGTCTCAAGGAAAAAAAACTTTCCTGCACAAACAAACATACAAAAATCACAAATGTAATTGAGTCAAAGATGTTTAGAGTAGCACTATCTATAGAAGTTTTTAAGAAAAACAATGCTGGGGTAGCTCAGTAGCAGAGGGTGTCTTCATCAGTCCTTGTGGTTTCAAGTAACGCCTGGTCCTCATAGCTTCCTAATCTTACCTTTAGGCCTCCTCTTTCCCCGTGCTATCAGAACTGTTTCTTCATCTACCTGCTGGATATTTACTCCTGAAAAATGTCTCTATCTCCTGCTGTCTGAAATTTCCCTCAGGATCTTACATCAAAAACTGAAGGCAGCATGATCCATCTAGCCTAGAAGCTTGAAATTAACTTTGTCTCTTCCAGGGCTGGGGATTTAGCTCAGTGGTTCCGCCACCTACCTTGCAAGCGCAAGGACCCGAGTTCAATCCCCAGTACCAAAAAAAAAAAAAAAACACCAAATTTGTCTCTTCTGTCTTCCCCCGTCTACTTGTTTTTTTAAGTTAATTTTATTGCCCTGTATACTTATGATCAATCACAAAGTCCTGCCAGTTTTACCCTCTCAATATTAGATTTGACTCTTTATCATTTTTCCATCTTGTCTCTGTTAGTGTTGTATTAAATGAGTACTTTTATTTAGCGTTTTGTCAGGAGTACTCAGTAGCTGTTGGCATTAATGACAGTATTCTTTACTGCACCTGCCTTTGTTGAGATTTTCATCATTTCTTACTTGAACTATGCACTGGTCATCCTGCCTCTGATCCTAGTTTCTCAAGTCCATTTTCCACAGAGCTGCCAGCAGTATCTTGCTAAAATGAAAACTGACTATGCCAACCCCCTGTTTAAAAGTCCATCACCTGTAGATTAAACTCCGACCTCCTTGCCATGGCATCCAAAGTTTGTTCTGATCTGACCCCCCTTGGAAGTCATCTCTTGCATCCTCTTCCTCCTTCCAGCCTAACACTTCAACAAGAGTGAACTGCATAGAGTGTGCTGTCCCAAACCTTTATCCATGTTGTTTGCCCTCTGTTATCATTTAGATATGGAATGTTCCCCAAAGGCCCATGTTTTAAAAGAGTTGGTTCCCAATTTGGCATTACAGGAAGGTGGTGAAAACTTTAGGAGGTGGAGCCTGAAAGGAAGTTTACTGGTTGTTGAGGGGATGATCTTGAAGAGCATATTAGAATCCACTCTTTCTTTTCCTCTCTCCTTTTCACTTCCTAGCTACCATAAAGTGAGAAGCTTTGTTCTACCATGGACTCCCACTGTGATATGCTGACTTGCCACAAGCCCCAAAGCAATGAGACTGACTGACTATGGACTGAAACCTTCAAAACTGTGAGCCAAAATAAATCTTGCCTCAATATATGCTAATTAACTCAGGTATTTGTTACAGGTTACAGTAATGGGAAGATGGCTAACACTCATGTTGTTCCTGCCATGGGGAAATATATATATTTCATTATGAGCCAGAACAGAAACTACCTGATTGATCTACCTTTGCATCCTCAGAGCCTATCATAATACCTGACACACAGAAAATGCTCAGTAAATAAACACCTTGTTACATGGACAGCATTGTATAGTGTGTGCCTAGGGAGGAATGTAGGAGTAATCAGGCCTAAATATGGGGGTGATGTACAGCCAATAGATATGGCCCTGGTCTCAGGTACAGGGGATACCATCTCTCCATCTTTGACTCTGAGTGGGTAGCACATAGTAGGAAATAAAGTACTGGAGCTCTCCGTCTGTGGTGTGGTTAGAAATGCATCAGGGATAGGAGGTTGGGAATGGCAATTACATCTGGTGTGAGAGGTCAGGACTCAGTCTCTGGGGAGCTGGTAAACTATCCAGTCATGATTTTGTCCTTGACACATATGAACAAGTATCTTTAGTTGTCAATGAGACTGCACATCTTTCAATCTAAAGATTTTATCGTACTTCATATGTGCCCAAATGTCAATTCTCTGTTCATTTCTTTGGATCAACTGTCAAGGATTGAAAGACAAGAGAAATAGACTTTAAAGATCCACTCTTCCCCCTCATTTTTCTATCCTCTTGATCTGAAATCTTTCACTGTTTTACCTGATTCAAACTTTCCCTCTTCCCAAGTTGTATTACGTACCAGGCCATTTTGGGCAACGAAGGTAGGGAGACCACTTACTAAAGCCCAGTGGTCAGGAGGTGGATTCCTGTAAAGGCCAAAAACAAATGGTGACTTTCAGAGCAGAAACTGTTAGACTAAAAATTTGAATCTGGGTCTTTGCCCCTTCTCTGCCAGCTGCTGGCCCCAGAACCAGCTTACATTCACTACACCTGAATGAACCCCAAATGCTGGCCAACCTCCTTCATGTTTGTTTTGAGATGTAGGAAAGAGTGATGAACATAACAGTTTATTGATTGTCCATGAAGTTCTTTCCAAGAAAAGAGAAAACATGCATTTCATGGATTGCTAGCTGTGAGCAAAAATAGATACCAACACTTCCTTCGAAAAGGAAGTTAGCAGCTTGAGACTGTAGAGAGTGGAAAAACTCATCTGTGTGAGCTGCTACATGTCTAGACACTGAGCTAAGTTTTTAAAATATTTATTTCTAGAGATAATAATAATATTACAGCTTTTGGTATCATAGTCATGTTCTGTATAATGATCTTTTGGTCAACAGCAGACCACACATGTGATGATGGTCCCATAAGATTATGTCACCTAGTGATGTCACAGCCTTCCTTACTTTGTGTAAATACATTTTGTGATGCTTGTTTAAAGACAAACGCACCTAACAAAGCATTTCTCGTGACGTGTCCTCTTCCTTAAGTGACACGTGATTCTATTACTTTTTGCTTATTTATTGTGAGAAAAAGATACACGGAAAATGCATTAGAAACTTCATCAGTCATTAGAAATGAACACCTCTGAAGTCACACACATGCCCAGAGGCCACTGTCAGCACCTTGGGAGCTCCTGACCTAGTTCTCCCAATCACAGCCTTCTCCCTGACCCGCAAAGTAACCATTATTCTACCATGATAATTACATTCTTGCTTTTCTCTAGAGTTTTATCACCCAAGTATGTTTTTCTGTACCCTCTAATTTGATTTTGCCTGTTTTTCAACTTCATTTAGATAGAATCATAGAATGTATTTTATTTTGTTGGGCTTATTTTTCATGTTGCTGCAATTCATTCATTTTATTGACTTACAGTTTTCCTCGTATTACAGTAGCACAATTTATCCATTCAATATTGATGAACACCTCCCCCCACCTATTGCCCCCTCACCCCACCCTCATCATTTTGGGGCTAATAGTCCAGATATGAACACTTTGGTACTTATGTGCTCTCAATTCTCTATAGTATATCCTAGGAATAAAAATACTATATCATAAGGTATGCATATATTCTACTCTACTAGATAAGGCCAAACTGCTTTCTAAAGTGATTATACCAATTCACACTCCCATCAGTGGTGTGTTAGAGTTTCCTTTGCTCCATATCTGTCCATACTTAGTATTTCCTAACTTAAATTATAGCCCTTTTGATGGAGTCTAATGCTACCTGATTATGGTTTTCTTTTGCATTTTGCTGCAAATTTAATGAAATGGAGTGCCTTCTAGAAATGTATTTGTCATTTTGATTGCTTTTTCATGAACTTCTTATTTATGTCTTTTACTTATTTTTCTATAACATTTTTTATTTGTGAGAGCTCTTTATATATTCTTTTTTTTTTCTTTCCAGTACCAGGGATCAAACTCAGGACATTGTGCTTGCAAGGCAGGGGCAGCGCCACTGAGCTAAATCCCTGACCTTCTTTATATATTCTTGATTTGAGTCCTTTGACAGTTACCTAAGTTGTGAATACTTTATTTTATACCTTGACTTAATTTTTTTACACTTTATAGTAATGAGTCTCCTAGATGCCCTTGGTGGTTCTTAGTTCCTTGTATGTATGTCTTTGTATAATCCCCTCTAAAAATGAATCAGAACTGGTCTATGTGATCAATAAAATATTGTAGGGGTGAATATGTTATTTTTGAGACTATATCATGAAATTCATTGCAGCCTTCATCTGCTTGCTCTGCAGAATTCAATTACCATGCCATTGGATAACACAAATAATTATTTCTAGAAGCCCATGTAAAGAACTAAGGCCTCCTGCCTTTTTCCTGTGCTGGGAACCAAACCCAGGGCCTTGTGTATGCTGAGCATGTGCTCTGCCAGATATACCTCAGCCCTTGTTATCTTTATAAAGCCTGTATCATTGTAGTTATGTATCCACTTTTTGTTTGTAATTATTTGGCTTGCTCTCTGTTTTGCTTGCTCAGTCTTGCCAGAGATTTGTTGATCTTATTGGTCTGTTCAAAGAAACAACTTTTGGGATGTGTTCACCATTTACTTTTTTTTCTATTTCATTAATTTAGGGGCTTATCTTTTAAAATTTCCCTTTTAGACTCTCTTTGAGTTTATTTTTTCTTGTTTGCTCTGATGTTTTGAGGTGATGTGATAGGTAGGTTCTGTCTGTCCCTCTTGGTCTACCCTCCATCCTGGTCCTCCCAGGAGGCCAGCTATATAGACCATACCAACAGGGCTTCTAGCCTTCTAGCTTCTGGTTGAATTTGGCCAGTGGGGAGACTTGACCAAAGAGAGGCGGAAGGTAGAACAGAGAGGTAGAAGTAAGGTTATTTATTTTCCTGCCTGACCCCACCCCTCCTTTCGCCTTTGTAAGGTGGCTTTGAGCTAGCTATAGTCCTTTTCTGAAGGTCAATGCGTCTCTTGAGGTGCTCTGCCCTGCATGACCCTCCTTCCAGGTTCTGGAGTCAGAAGCGGCAACAGCTTTACCACTACCTGAGCAATGACTTATGGTTCCATTCTCCACCCACATCTTCGTAGTTTGTCCCTTTGTAAACAGACCTTCCTTGAATTATCATAATTTGAATGTGACACCTGTTTTCTGTTGGGATCTTGTCTAATGGTCACCTAGCTCATTCCTTTTTCAGCCTTCATCCTTTCTTATAATAAATGTATTTAAGGCAGTAAATTTCACCTTAAGCACAATTTCATTACATCACAATAGGTTTTAATAAATAGCATTTTTTCCAGCTCAGAATATTTTCTAATTTCTATTAATTAATTTTTTGATCCATTAGTTGTTTGGAAGTATATTTTTCTCTAGAAGAATATTTCCTAGTTTCTGAGCATATGATAATTTTCTGATTAGTCTTTTTTTTTTCTGGATCGAACTCAGCACCTTGCGCTTGAGAGGCAGGTGGCGCCACCACTGAGCTAAATCTCCGGCCTTCTGATTAGTTTTTGCAATTGTTTTCTCACATATTTTTATTGTGACTAAGAACATTCTATGTATAATTTCAGTCTTTTGAAATTTGTTGTTTGCTTTATGGCCTAGTATATGTCCAGTTATTAAAAAGGTTGCATGTATATTTGAAAAAACTCAGTGTTCCACGCTTTGGGAGATGATGAGCAGTTGTATTTTTTCAAGTTATTCTTCTTCTTCTTTTTTTTTTGGTACTGGGGATAGAACTCAGGACCTTGCGCTTGCGAGACAGGCAGTGGAAACGCTGAGCTAAATTCCCAGCCCAGCAGTTGTATTTTTCACTTTTTTTTTTGGTTTTTTTTTAGTGTTCAAGGGATAGTATTTGTTTTTTTTCAAATATTAATGGCCAGTTCTATTCAACTTTCTTAAAGGAACAAAATAATTAAAGAAAGGAAAAACCCTTACATAACCATCTCTGATCGCATTCTACCAAAGCAGAGAACCAATTTCACAAATTAAATGCTTAACATGTCTGCACGTTTTTCAACTTTTGCTACATATGTATATATCTATAAAAATTACACAATCTTGTCTTACATGTTTATAAATCTTATATAAAATGGAATCATTCTTTATATAGATTTTTACAATTTATTTTGCCCGGCATTTTGAAGTTTATCTATGACTTTAACTGCTTTATAGTATTTATTGTATGACTATTTCAGTTTATTTGTTTCCCTGTTAATGAGCATTTAGTTATTGCCCTGCTTTCATTATGACAAACACTGCTGCAATGGATATCTATGCACACGTTTCCGTATGTGAAATGTATCAGCTTCTCTAATGTGTATGCCTAGGAGTGAACTTGCTAGTTAGGAGAAACGTGCCTAGTCTATTTTAGTCTATATTCCCAATAAGCAGTTTTCTGTATATACCTATTCGGTTGTGTTTTTTGTGTTGTACAAGTATTCTACACTGTATTTGTTTTACTTTTCTCATTCTCTCAATTAGTGAACATGAGTTTGTCTATACAGTATCTCCTTGTATTTTGATTAGTTTTTTGCCTTATATTTTTTGAGATAATGTTATAAAGTATGTTCAAACTTAGAATTGTAATATCATCCTGTAACATCAAGGCATATTGACCCCTTTATCATTAAGATGTGGCTAATTTTATCCTTACTAATGTTCTTTAGCATAATACCTATTTTATCTGATAATATAGTTATACCAGATGTAGCTCAGAGGTAGAAGATAAGCTTATCATGTTTAATCCCCAATATCAAAAAAGCATAACTATACCAGTTTTCTTTTAATTATCATTCATGTAGTATACCTTCTCTGTATTATCTTTCAGATAAGTTTACTGTAAACAAGATATATGATATTTCATCATGTCTAGAAAGTAACCATTTTTTGTTTTGTTTTGTTTTTTGGTATCAGGGATCGAACTCAGGACCTTGCGCTTGCTGGGCAGGTGCCGGAACCACTGAGCTAAATCCCCGACCCATGAAGTAACCATTTTTTATGAACCATTTTATGTGACTGAGAAAAATAAAATGCTGCCAATTATCTGTAATGCAACACATCTTATCACTTGTAATATTTACTTTATTCCTATGAACAGCGTTCTTCAGCATTTCAATATAGATTTTGATTATATATCAAACTGTTTCCTCTCTGTGAAATTTAAGACAAATTTTTGTTTCAATGCCACGTCATAGCATAATTTCTTTATGTTACTGTAGATGGCAATTAAGTTCCAGACAGATAGCCAGAAAGGTTGCTCAACAATAACTCAAGTGAAATTACAACAATATATGTGGTTATGACCAAGTTCACACTCAGGGAGCCAGCAACCACTACATCATGACTGCCATGCAGCTGATAACAATTGTATAATATCATTTATTTTATTTCAAAAATGTCAAAAAGTAGAAAACTGTGTGTCTTTTTTTTTTTTTTTTGTACTGGGGATTGAACTCAGGACCTTGCACTTGCGAGGCAGGTGCCGGAACCACTGAACTAAAAAATCCCTGGCCTGAAAACTGTGCATCTTAGTATGGATACATATGATAGGTTTGTTTCTTATCCAGCCTGTCGATCATTTTTATCTAACTGGAACATCTAGTTTGTCTATATTTAAAGAAATTATTGATATATTTGGATTTAAAAATCATCTTAACATGTATTTCCTATTTTTCCACATCTCTATGTTCTTTCTAAATTTTATTTGGGCTTCCTTTGGTTTGATTAATAATTTATTTACTATTCCATTTTCCCTTCTGTTAGTTTGAATGGCACATACTGTGGAAGCCATTGGGGGTATCTGTAAATAGGCTGGATGTCCCTCCTTCTGGGCATACAGTTGGGTTTCATTCCTTATACACTCAGAGTAAAGTAAATGGTCATGTGACTAGCTGCAGCCATTGAAATGTGAGTGAAAGTGATGTGTGTCATCTTCAGACAGACATCTTATGATACACTCTTTGCCCATGTCCTCTTCCTTCTGGTAATGTTAGTCACCCCTATAATGTTCAAAATGGTGGCTGCTTTATCAGTCTTGGCTCCTGCATGACCACAGTCCACGCATCATAGCCCCAACCACACCCAATAACTGCCAATGGCCACATAATGGGATGGTCCAATAAAACTTTGTTGTTTATACCACTAAGGTCTCAAGGTCCTATTACCACAACATAGTCTAGCCCAGTGATGGCGAACCTTTTAGAGCTTTCAATTGATAACTAACAGCCCCAGTGTGGCATGCCATAGTTCCATTGCCATGGCCTACCCTAACTTGGCTGATTCAAAGATCTGTATTAGAAATGAAGTGCTGCCATAAACAAATTAAAACAGGTGATATAGGATAGGGGCTGGGTGAAGAGCAGCAAAGTGGGTGTGAACCAAAGCTAACAGGATGTGATGCTTGACAGGCAATGATAAATCATTGGGGAAAACTGACTTGTGATCATTTGAAAGACACAATGAGCTTAATAACCTTGTATCTCTAGAAAAGGGGTTGGAAAACAATGATTGAAGAGTATGGATTTGACAAGACTTTAAAAAAAGAGATGAGCTTAGAATAGACTCAATCAACCTTTATGCAAGCAAGAATGAAATAGAAGAGAGAAATCCAGTAACAGAAGAACTTGATGAAATGTCTCATCCTCAACTAGCAAAAGGTAAACCTGAGAACTTGTTTATCTTAGTGGCCAATGAGTACTGGAAACTCAGGAACGTGCATTTGTGAGGTAGGCAAGGAGCCACTGAGCTAAATCCCCAGCCCAAGTCAGCCTCTCTTATCACATCCACTGTTTGAGGATTAAGGCACCAGCAGGTGGATGAGAGAGCTCTGGGGAAGGAGATTAAAGGTGTGACACTCCCATGGAGTGCAATTGCAGGCTCAAGGAGTCTGCAATTAAATTGAGAAAGAGAGCATGTCTCAAGGCCTGAATGTGGGTGTGGCTCTTGGTACAAAGAGAGAATTCAAATAGACAGAATGGCAACGTGGCTTTTTTGTGAATACTCTGCCTTACGAGAGTTCAAACCTACACTACAAAGGTTTGCGACTATTCCATTCTGGAAATAGTCTTTGAGTACCAGCTACCTGCAGACAGGTTCAACAACATCCTTTCCCTTTTCATCATCCTTCTTGGTCACATTTGAAGAGTACATTAGAAAATAAGCTTCCATGAGGGCTGAGTCATTTTCTTTGCCAGCTTCTCACTTTTCCTTTGCCCCTTTCCAGGATCCCAGAAGTAGTGCCACAGAGTATTATTGCAAATCCCTGGTTTGATCCCACCATCTCATTCTATAAACATGAAACTGAGGCCCAGACAGACTGCTTATTATCACTGGCTATGGGCCCGGAACTCAGAGAACCTGATTCATAATCCAGCATGCTGTGACTGGGGCCCCATGTCCCACCCTGGATGAGTCTCTCCACCCTTCCACACTGCCTCCTACTGCTCTCTGTCTAGACTAGGGCCTGGCCACGATGGGTTCAGTTACCATTCATCTTCGAACAACATTGATAAGTGATTTTGCATGTTTTGAGATGAAACTTACGGGATTACTTTGATGTCTTCTTTGCCATGCAGGATGTAGTCAATGACTTTGTAAAAGTTAATTTCCTGGCAAAAAAAGATAGAAAAATTAGGCATTAAGAGTGAGAGATTTCAATGTGACCACAAAACAGATCTTTAAAAAAATAAAATGAGAAAAAGATCAGGAAATGTATTACATGCCTGCGGTGTGAGAATATTAGATTTCCAGATCTTTCTTTACTGTCATCTGCTCCATTTTGAGGAAGCACCAAGTGTGCCCTTAACTCTCACCAAGGTCATGCCCTACTGCCTTCTAGTGCTCACTGTCTTCAGCTGACCCTCAGGGTTCAGTGTACTCCTCTGTGAGAGCAACTGACAGTGGCCAGGCAGGAGGCTGGGATCTGGGGCTAAGGAAAGGGATGGAAAGTTTTCCAAGAGGATCTGGAGGTACAGCGCAAGGAGAAAGAGATAAAGACTGCTGCTGGAGGCTGGATATAGGGAAATACATCTGTAATCCCAGCACTCTGGGAGACAGAGGTAGGAAGATCACAAGTTCAAGCCCACCTTAGGCAACTTAGTGACTTAATGAGACCTTGTCTCAAAATAAAAAAAGAGCTGGGGAAGTAGCTGAGTGTGAAAGCTCTAAATTCAATCCCTAGTACAGGGCACTGGAGGGAGGGAGGGAGGGAGAGAGAGAGAGAGGGAGAGAGGGAGAGGGGGGAGAGAAGGAGAAGGAGGAGGAGGAGGAGGAGGAGGAGGAGGAGGAGAGGTAGAAAGGTTCTCATTCATTTAGAATCATTGTCAGCCCAGCAGTCACCATAGTGCACTTTCTCCTTCCTTCACATCTATCACCCAGCTTCTCTCTTTATTGTGTCATTGCTTCCAGATCTTCCCAATTGTGCCACATGCTTCCAAATTAACTTCTCATCTTCTCCTATCTCCTAGAACCATTAAAACTCCCATTCTCTCAGATCTGTTCAATTACAGAACCTCCTAGCATGTACTTGGACATTAGCAGGTGACTCTGTTCCCCTAGTTCTCTAGGGAAAATTCCATTACCTTATCGAGTCCTCCAGGCATCCTAGCAGAAGAATCCAATCTTAGCTCCACCACTGCAGCATGGTGGAGCTAAGACTCAACCTAGAGTCACGCTCTAGCCTTGATTTTACTAGGTATGCTATCTGGGCCTCAGTTTCCCAGCTGTAAAGTTAGATCAGTCACATGTGTTTATTTGCCTACTGCTGCTGCTGCTAAGCAGCAGGACCTCATTCCTCAAACAAAGCATGGAGTGTATAAATGAAGCATGGAGCCTAATCATATAAAGCTGCTCCTATGAAAGCCAAGTAGGACACACAGAGACTGTACAGCTTACTTTGTTCTCTCACTTCTTTCCCTAACTTCCTCTTTCCTCACTAATACCCAGTTAAGGGAGCCACTGCCAACTCTAGGGTTTTAAGGACAATTGGGAGAGAATAAAAATTGGGCTAGACAATTTCTAAAGTCCCTCCTAGGCATGACTCCAAGATTATAGTTGCACAGTTAATAATCTCTCTCAAGGATTAAAATACACATATTCTTTAACCCAGTAATTCCACATATGATAATGGGTCCTATAGATATACTCCCAAATATGAATATAAATATTGTTTGCTCCATCCAGGGGTCTCAGCCACTCTGCTTTAAAAAGCCTGGAGTTAACTCCATATCTACACTTACGAAAGCAATTAAACAAATTGAGTACAAATGCTCCTCAACTTACATTAGTTGCTTTCCTTAAAAACCCACTGTAAGTTGAAAATATTATAAGCCAAAAATGCATTTAATGTGCTCAGCCTACTGAGTATCCTAGCTTAGCAACATGGGGTGCTGTAGAATGTCGGTTGTTTACCCTTGTGATCACGAGACTGAGAGACTGGGTTCACTCTTGTTGCCCAGCATCATAAGAAAGAATATAGCAGTGCACTTTGCTAGCCTGGGAAAAGATCCAAACTTAAAGTACAGTTTCTACCAAATGCATATTGCTTTCTGCTATCATATAATCAAAATATTGTGAGTCAAAGTATCTTAAGTCAGGGATGGTCTGTGTCCGTATATAGGGAGGCTTTGTATTTTTCCTACTGTGTCTGTGCTAATAGCGAAACATGCCAAGACACACACTTAAGTGAGAAAACCAAGGCACAAAATAGAATAACTATATTTATGAGGGTGGTGATGGTGGAATATGTGTATTTCTGAATATCCAGATACCTGTTGGCATTTCTGAAAGATGGACTGATAACAGTAGCTGCCTTGGGAAGATGACCAGGAACAAGGGGGGCTTGGTATGTCATTTTTCCATTGTGCTCATGTATTTTTCAACTAATAGAAATTTCTTATTAAAAACTTTTTGTTTTTTGCAGTGCCGGGGATCAGACCCAGAGCCTCATGCTTGCTAAGTGAGTGCTGCAACACTGAGCTACACCCTCAGCAGCAAACATTTTTAAATAGTGAAGTTGCACTGGCATACGGCTCTGGAAAGCAAAGGTAGTATTATTATCTACTGGGACTTGGGTGAAGCTGTTTCTACCTAGGAGAGGAGGACACAGAGTTCTAGAACCTTTTTAACCACCTTATGTCTCGCCTTAGGGCCATCTGTCCTTGGCCTATCTGCTCTCTGTGTTCCCAAGCCTGAGGCTCCTGTGCCTGGCAGGCTGCCCTAGCCAGGACTTGCCATGAGACCCTCAGAAAGGTTAGGAATGAACATTTTTTTAAAATCCCACAGGAAAATCAACTTGCTTTCAGAAAAGGCAACAAAAAATCAGTGTGCTTTAGGTAAATAGAGCTTTTTCTACACACTCTAACTTAATAAAGTTGCCTTCAAGGCCATATTCATGTAAGAGTTCACCAGATTCTGAAAAATCAAAACCAAGCCATCAAAGGTACCTTTGTTACCTTCTACTGAGCAGCTAGCACTGTAACACAAGGGTCTGTGAAAGAGCTACCAGTACAGCTGTAGCCAAATCATACTGCATGGAAATACAGCAGTTTTTAACATGTGCTATTTATTTGTTTTTGTTCATGAAGCCTAACTTGTACAACTTTTTAATGGTTAAAATATACACAAACACCATTCATTAATTTTAAACTTAATTTTTAAAACTTTATTTTGTTTGAGGTGGGGTTTTGCTATGTTGCCCAGGCTGATCTTGAACTTCTGGGCACAAGTGATCCTCTCACCTCGGTCTCCTGAGCAGCTGGGGCTACAGGCATGTGCAATCAGGCCAAGCACCATTTTATTTTTAAAAGGAGATGAAATGAGATGCAGCTACTATCAGGGAACTTTAAACTTTAGATCTAAGATTTGGGGAGGCTAATTGGTCAGAACCAAATAAAAGCTGTATTTCCTAATATGAACATGGCAGATAAAATGTGAGTTGTGTTAGAAGGCAAGAGGTAACATGAGAAGCTTGACAGTTAACAGAGAGAGAGGCATCCTGGGGTTGAATTTCTCCAAATGATTTGACCCCTCCCAAACTCAATGTCCTTAATGGATTAATGGGGAAAGTAAGGATACCTTCTTGATAAACTTGTTGAGAAGAGTGAATAATGTATGGAACCTAGGCAAAGTGACCAGCAAATACTGAGGACGACCTAGGTAGCTATGATTACATACTGGAGTTCCTATTGTTGTCACTGTGGGACTGGCCTCAGTTACTACAGCCCTCCTGGGTAAGCCTGAGAACCGCTGCTTGGTGGAAAAGGAAGAAAGGCCTTCCTGTGGTACCAAGACCATACCACTAGCTGGCAGAGCAGGGGTCAAAATTCAAGCTTGTTCCCACTATGTCCATACTCTTTCCAGAAGATCTACTTCTTACCAATCCTGTTTTTGTTTTTGTTTAGTTTCTTTTTTTTTTAGTAGATGTTTGTAATACATAATAACTACATTCATCTTAGTAACCAATCCTGTTGGTCTGCATCTGGATCCCAACTAGGCCTATGCGTGGTTTCCTTGTGGCTGTGTCCTGGAGCCAAGATAAGTTTATGAACAACATCTTGGATGGGAAAATCAAAGATCCAAGAAGTTATTTGGCCAAGCTCACCTTCTGGGCGAGCAACCAACTGAAACCAAAATCCTTTGTCTTCATGGCCTTTTCCATTACAACTTTATACCTGATACTCTTGTAGAGACTAAGGCCTTGCTACCTGAGATGTAGAAGGATTTAGAGGGAAACAAAGGTCTTTTTTTAGTGCTCTCACTTCTACTAACTTTTGAAGACACTTGTAGTTAATGTATTTTTGTTTCTATGTAGGAAGTTTTTAAAAAATGCCTTTTTCATTAAAAAGAAAAAGCAACCAATTTTATCTTTGAGTAAAAGTTAAAACTGAGATTCTTTTTAAAGATTAGTCCTGACCAGGGATTTAGCTCAGTGGTTCTGCTGCCTGTCTCACAAGCGCAAGGTCTCGAGTTCAATCCCCAGTACCAAAAAAAAAATTCTGAAAGTTTTTGCCGGGGATTTAGCTCAGTGGTTTCGCTGCCTGCTGTGCAAGCGGAAGGACCCAAGTTAGGTCCCTGGTACCAAAAAAAGATTAGTCCTAAGTGGCATTTAGGAACTTCATTGTAAGATGCCATGCTGACACTATGACAAACCAAAGTGTAGAAATTAGGTTTGGTTTTGGTTTGGTTTGGTTTTCAGTAGCCAGTGCCCATCAGTAAAGTTATGGGAATGTTCCAGTTGTAGGGCAGAGATCTGTTTGGAATCCACCACAGGTATGCTCCTTGGGTTGGAATCTGGAGAGTGAAGCATGTTTTGCTGGACCTGCATAGACCACCCAGTAGTCGTTAAAGTAAAAAAAATTTTTTTTCATCATCTCTTCTTTAGAAATCTATTTGGTACCACAAAATTCTGCCAAATCCTTTTACAAACTGGGATCCTTCTTGTGACTTATCTGTGATGATTTCCCATGTAGCTCCAAAATTTTTTAGAGTTGTCAGCAAGTCATTCCACCAGGGGTATGTTCTCAATCAGTTCATGTTCCTGTCCCGTGTCTTTGTGGAATGAGATTTATCCTTCTCTTGTTCTGGAGTTATATAGAAACTCTTCTCTTCCGTGACTTGGCAATGAAGAGTATATCTCAATAAATCAGATATTCATAGACTTAGAATCTCTATAGCTCCCATTTCCAAACCCTGTAGTGTATCTTTAACTCTGAAACAGTACTGGCTGATTTCAATCAAAGTATCACCTATTAATTTCTTCTCTAAGGTGAATTTTAAGCTGAAGAGGATTTCAGTAGATAATTCAATAGCTTGGTTGAATCCTACCAATTAATTGGATATATAGAATATACCAATTAATTTTAAAACTTTGATCGTAACCTCTGACCAAACATAACAGACTGACTCAGTTCTGTTTTAAAGTCCATTGTTGCAGCTAAAATAGGACTAGCAACATTCACTTTGTCTCCAGAAATAAACAGCTGCTCAGCAGTCTCTGCTCTTTTCTGGAGATAGTTATGTGTCTTTTCCATTCCATTCTAAGTGGGCAAAATTCTGCCATGTTCCTCTAGGAGTTCCCATGTGGATTTGTTACAAGAGCTCTCCTATATTTCCTTGGAGCATGCCAGATAACACACCCAGTCATCTAGAGCTTAACTATCATCTGAAAATAGTGCTATAAAAGCACCTATATAGAAGTTCTGGTTACACAAATGCAGTGATTCATTAATTGGTTTGTAAGGTTGAAAGTCAATGTTGACTGGTTTTTTCTTGTTACGATTGCTCCACAATAAACAACCAGTCCACTTGGAGATAATTTTAATAACATTTGAGTCTTTGTACAGATGTAACTAGCACCCAAGACTTAAAGGTGTTATCAACTTGCCACTCATGGACTCTGGCCTTATGCAGAAATGGGTCATGATACCATGCTGTGGGCCTCCTAGGCCATTAAGGAGCTTCTTGGTCTTCCAGATTTCTATATTCTTCTCAGCAGTCTGAAAACTCTGTCTATCTTCTCCACTTCTCCTCCCACCAATCCTGGCAGCTCAGACTTAGGACACTGTCTTCCCCCCTCCACATGGCTGCAATCCACTCATGTGGGACCTTGGGTTAGGCATGGATCTGCCGATCACCTCAATAACACCAAAACCTCTTGATTTGGTCAAATATTGAATAGATCTTCCTGGCCTGGTGCTCAGTGAGAAAACGTCATAGTCAGTTCAGTCTTGAAGATTGGAGCACTGGAGATTGAATGGCCAGAGGGATTAGATCCTGCCATTTCTCTGGATGCCCTAGAGCTGGAGATAATCTGAGAACACTGACCTAAGAGCTCAGCTCAAAACCTCGGGTTGTGCTGGGATTACAGACATACACCAGCACACCTGGCTCAGCTCCTCAACTTCTAACTTTCCAGAAAAGAATTTTGACGTATACATGAACTGGAGAAAAACCCCAGTGGGAATGTGTCAAGCACCCTAACTTACTAACACAAAAAAGCTGTACCTTAAAAAGCTGTCCTTAAAAATGGTGTCAGGCTTGGAGTGTAGCTCAGTGCTAGAGCATGTACTTACCTATGCACAAGACCTTGGGTTTCATTCAAGGACCTCAAAAAAAAAAAAAGAGAATGTCCCAAAATAATCTTCTTGATAGCAGCAGTACATGATGCAATGAGGACTCAGTCTTTGAAATGAAATCATGAAATTATATGAGCCAAAGAATTTGAACTTGGATGGCAACAGGTTATGATGGTCATTTTGGATAAAGCAGAGTAGACAAAATAGATTCCAAGTTTAAAATCTTCTCTTATGTATATAAGAAGCTCACAAACAAGAGGTGTGAATTTGAGTTCCTAAAGTTTCAATTAGACTGATGTATTATTTACACATATGCATACAAACATACGCGTACACACACACAAGCACACACATCCCTTTATTTGGGCAGGGTTAGCACTAGGTGAAATAGGCTTCTGGGAGAAACTGATAACATTATTTTGTACAGTCTAAAATTCTTAAGGGAAGAGCATGGCACTACAACTCAATCCAGGGCAAGGTCCCCCTGCTCATTTACCCTGCTAAACTGTTCTGTCAGTCAGCAGGTTTGCTAGGCCATTTGAGTGGCTGGTCTGTGTGCCCTGCATCATCTCCACACCCCACACATTATTTCATTGTCTCAAAATGTATCGTATCTCATCTTTAGAACAAACAAGTTGATAGGGCCAGAGGTCAGAGATTCAAATGCCAGGGTGTGGGGAGGGGACAGAAGCACAAAGGAGAGCATGGGGCCAAACGTACATGGAGCTCTGAGAGGTGGGGACTGTAGCAAGCTAGGGAATTCAGGCCACAGCTGTTCTCAGCTCTAATGAAATTCACCCTGTGGGATTGTGGGTCCAGTTTTGACTAACCTTCACCTTTTTAAACTGATAACCCAAATATTTATGGGAAAATGTCTTGTTTATTAAGTGTTAGCCACCAATTCAATTTTTTAAAAAGTATAAACAATGAAGAAAAAAAATCCTTTAACTTAGGCAGCCAAACAGCATGTCTATCAGTTGTAATTGGCCTTCTGAGTACCAATTTGAACATTCTAGATTTAGATATGAAGATTCTTTCTAGTTCTAATTGTCTGATTCTAACTTCCTGCTGAGTAACTCCTGGAACAGGTTTCTTGACCTCTAGGGGACTTTTTCCTCATCTATGAAATGAAGATACTGATTCCTGCTTGGTGTAACCCACCAGATTACTATGAAAATCCATCAAGATATTAAAATCACTTTATAAATGACAGAGGTTGGTAACTGTGAAAAATTACTATCACTCAAGGGCAACAACCTAACCCTGAGAAGATACAATCTTATGTGATAAAGAAATGTCCTTCAGGGGATCCACTGTATCTTGCATTTGAATTTCATTAAACATTTATCTATACTGAAAAGGCCAGAAAGAGACTTACCCTTCCATCTGGAGTTCTGGGACCAGAGTAGGGTGGAGCCTCACCCATCAGAACTGGCCACACATCAAAAAATTCCTAGGAATAAAAAAAAAAATAGTAATTACATGTTTTGAAAATAGACCAAGAAAAGGAGATTAAGAAGTCCAACTTACATGAATCATCTATCACTGAAGGCTCATCGCTTCTTGGCCTTTTGGCTAAGATAGAGTGTATCACTGAAGGCTTGAGGGTGAGAAAAGCTCACTGAAATCTAAGCTGAGTGCAGCAAGACTCACTAGAATCAGAGGATAATCCCATCTGCCCTGTAAATAATGATGAACTGGGCCTGTTTAATCACGAGCCATAAACATGAACGTTGAGTTGGGCACCCTCAGTACTGTGGGGTAAGGCAGGGCAAGTGGGGTCTCTGTGACTTAGAAATTTACCTTAAGGACATGCTAAGCATGTGATTAAAGAATTAGTTAAAACAATCTTCCCCTGCAATATCATTTATAGTAGTGAAAAATTGAAAACAATGTCCAACCAGAAAGAACTTACTAAAGCAATTAAGGTACATCTATTAACAGTGATGTCAGGGGGCCGGGGATTTAGCTCAGTGCCTGCTGCGCAAGTGCAAGGACCCAAGTTCGATCCCTGGTACCAAAAACAAACAAACAAACAAACAAACAAACAATAATGTCAGGTATATTTGTACTGATTGAAAAGGTGCCGATGATATGCTGACAAGGAAAAAATGTGAGGTGCCAAAAACAAAATATTATGTGACTTTGCTCTTTAATTATATATGTGATCTTTCACAACAAAGTTTTAACAAACTTTGGGCGATTAGAATGAGATTACTAAATTTTTTTTGGCTTTTTAGATAGAGTCCTGTACATAGTCCAGGCTGGTCTTGAACTCACAGCGATCCTTCTCTTGCCTCAGCCTCCTAAGTGCTAGGATTACAGGTGTGTGTCACCATGCACAGTTGAGATTATAATTTAATCAGGTATTTTTCCATAATAAATTTCGTTGCTTTTGTAATCAAGAGCAAAAAAAAACGTTTCCCAAGTAAGAAATAAAGAGGGAACAATGCGCCAAATGTAACAGACAAATCCATATTTGCTCTCCAAGGCTGACACCTTGTAAAACAAGGGGCCATAAAGCAAAATGAGCAGGAGGCCATTAGCCTGAGACTCTCTATTCTGAGTTCCTGCATAGTCATTTGAGTTTCTATATAACAAGCTGTAACCTAACTTAGTATGTAAACAAACACAAATCTAATTTAGGAATATATTTTTGTAGCAAATAGAGTTTCAGCCAGTTGCTGGCGGCCAACTGGTCAAATCACACTCCAAATCAGACAAATGCTTAGCTGTAACCCATCAGCTTATTTCTTCACTTCCTAGTTTAACCTAAAAAATTTCGCTGCCCACACTGGAGAGTGAAACTCTCCAGCTATCTTCTGGTCCTGAGTGCTGCCTAATTCATGAATCATTCTTTGCTCAAGTAAGCTCTGCTAAATTTATTTTGTCCGAAGTTTTTCTTTTCACATAGCCAAGACACTAGCAGAAGAAGAAAAAAAAGAGCCAGGAAAGGAAGTGCATAGTCACGCTGGAAAAGCCACTGGGACCCCACCCAGGCCTTCGCCCACTACTTCTCCACTGGTTTCCTTTACATCCAGAGCTGCAAAGCTTGTGTTGGGCCACGTCTGGGCTTGGCAGAGGAAGGCTCACTCCTCCTGAGCCTCTCTGTTCTTTCAGCTGTGTTATGTAGACACAAACAGTAATCCATTAGCACTGTTACTGAGGATAGAAGGCCAACCCTCCCCACCTTGTTTCTTTGCCCCTCTCTTGTCTACACACATTTATCACGATGGTTTTCTGATCCTAATATCATCCAGAGGACAAGCAAAAAGAGGTCCATATGAAATTCAGGTTCCATGTCCTTGGTCTTCTGCTTAGTTAGGTTCTTTTTCTGGACTATTGACAGAAGGAAGAAATTCAGCTCTGAGTGAAAATGAGAACTGGGAACTTACCTGAGCCCCACAACCTGCTTGCCACTGGATGTACAGAGATGAATAAGGCACAGTTCATGCTGTAAGGGAACTTATTAACTTATTACTATCTCCAGAAGGACATAAGCAAGTTCTAAGTTACTATAGTAAGACAGATGGAATAAGAACCAAAATAGTAATGGGAGGAAAGCATAAATGCTCATGGGACCTAGAAGAACAAGTGCATTGAGTGATACCTTGTATGGCCAAATAATGAGTGGATTGGAAGATTGTCCCAAGGAGACGAGAAATTGTCAAACAGGATGGAAAGTGCAAAACATCTATGACCTCTTCCATCTTTCCTCCCTCCTCTTCCTTTCTTCTTTTCATTCTTAATAGCTTATTGAGATATAATCCACATATCATATAGTATGATTTCCATATGATTTGAATATGCCCAAAGGGTCAAATGCTGGAAGCTTGGTCCCCAGTATGGTAGTCTAAAGTTTGTGGAACCTTTAACAGTGCTGTGTAGTGGAAAGTTGTTGGGTCATTGGGTGTGCTGCGCTTGGAAGGGATTATTATAGTTTTTGATGGACCCCAGTTAGTTCCCAAGAGAGTAGGTTGTTACAAAAAGAGGAAATCTTGTGCTGAATCTTTCTGGCTCCCTGTCATATTCACCACGTGATGATTTGTACATATGTTTCCACCATTGTGATGCCATCTGCTACCAGACAGATAGGGATGCCTAATCTTGGACTTTCAATCTCCAAAACTGTGAGCCAAATAAACTTATTTCCCTCCAAAAGTAACCAGCTTCAGGTATTTTGTTATAGCAGCAGAAAGCAGACTAAGATACCACACAATTAATCTGTTTAAGTGTACAATTCAAAGGCTTACTGACTTTTTTATAATGTCAGTAGCCTAAGGCCAAGTAGCTACAGTCAGTAGCCAAGTAGCCTAAAAGCAGGTTCTTAGAGTGATTGAAGGCCACTTAGACCACTTCTAATGGCTAAATTGTTCCATCTTTGGGAGATGAGTAAATCAGAATAGTCTTGCTTAAGTGTAGTTTTCCCTTCTGAGAAGGAGTTCAAAAGGACAAGAGGCCAGAACACTATATCATGGAGAGGACTGAACCTGGGGTCAAATTGTACTTCCACCTGGAGACCTAGCTCATTGGTGCTGCCTGCCTCATAAGTGCAAGGTCCTGAGTTTGACCCCTGGTACCAAAAAAAAAAAAAAAGAATGTGACTACTGAGAAATTCTTTTGATTGAGGTGGGGATATAATAAAGTGGTAGAGTGTATATTTAGCATGCATGAGGCTCTGGGCTTGATCCCAACACTGAAAAACAACAACAATAACAACTGGGCATAGCAGTATGCATTTGTGGTTCCAGCTACTCAAGAGGCAGGTGGGTTGCTTGTGCCCAAGGGTTCAAGACTAGCCTGGGCAACATAGGAAACCCTGTTCCAAAATCTTTCTCCTTTTCATTTAAAAGAAATCATTTACTTGTTTGAATTCATTCATTTGCTTCTTCATGAAGGATAACCCAAGGTTGTATTGCTGGGATTTGCAATATTTGGCAAGATATTTATGACTCAACAGCATACAAAATCAGATAAATGGCCACATTAGAAGTAGAGGTTCCTTAAAATCAGTATATAGCCCAACTCCACCTGAAACACTTAGGAAATTATTTTAAAGATAAAAATAGACCCATAGGTATATGAAAATGTGATATATGATAATGTGGCTTATCAAAATGGTGGCACTGTTAAGTAATGGATAAAGGACGAATGGTGATGATGGTGGTGGGGTGTTGATTTTACAGTACCAAGGATTAAACCAAGGACCTTCCCACTAAGCCTCATCCCCATTCCTTTTTTATTTTTTATTTTGAGACAGCTTCTCACTAAGTCACTAAATTGCCCAGGCTGAGCTCAAATCACTCTGCCTCAACTTCCCGGAGTCCTGGGGTTACAGGCATGTACCACATACCCAGCTGTGGATTATTAGTTAACAGAAAAATACAGAGAAAAAAATTTACCCATCTCACACCATACACATACTTAAATTCAAAAGATAAATAAGATTAAACTATATTAATCAAAACTATAAATATATTAAAAGATAACACAAGATTATTTCAAATTATACTATTGACAGTAAGAAAATCTTTATTAAATAAAACCCAGAACTCAGAAGCCATAAAAGAAAATTTAAATCTTCTATTTGATGAATGATAATCTGTAGACAGAGAAAAAGTTTGCAGCATATGTTACAGATATATAATCTCTATCATATATAAAGCACCCTGTGAAGTAATAAAGAGATAATCATAAAAACCAACAAGTGATATGTCTGAGCAATATGTAGAAGAAAAATCAAATCACAAACATACAAAATTTATTTACTTTTACTAATAATTTGTGAAAAACAACTAGAAGAGAAGATACCACCTTTTGCCCATTCAGATAGGAAAAAATACGATGTAAAGAATCATAAGAGGTCGGGGATTTAGCTCAGTGGTTCCACTGCCTGCCTCACAAGTGCAAGGACCCAAGTTCGATCCCCAGCACCAAAAAAAAAAAAAAAAAAAAAA